GCAGGTCTGGTCTCAGAGTCTTTGCAACTCAGCTGTGGGGGTGGGGGTGCCAGTCTTCCTTGCAGCATGACTCAAATCTTCTAAGAAGGACTCTCAGCTTTTATGGCAGGGAGGAGGCTAGTGAATCTAGTCAGTTTCAAGGACTTCCTGGAGTTATTCTGAATTGTTTATCTTCTGCTTAAGGAGTTTCCTGCAGGATGTTCCAAGGAAACTTACACAAGGACCAAAAAGCTGCTTGGGTACCAATACCCTAAATTTGTTAACAAAGGCAATTGATTGGATATGAACAGAAGTTTCTGTCCCACCAGCAACTCCCAAATAAACATACTGAGACTTAATATTACTTTTAAATGCTTGGTCAATTGCTCAGGCTTATTACTAACTACTCCTAATTTTACATTTTAAGTTAACCACCATTCCTTATTTATGCTCTGCCACGTGGTATCTCTATTAACACGGTACACTCTTAATCACATACTCTTAAGGCTAAAAAAAAAAACCTTGAAAACTCATCCAACTCATCCAGCCTTTTCAAGTGTGCCATATTAATGTCAGCTCAAAAGCAGAGGGAAGGGAGAGACTTTTCAATCTGTCTGATTTCAATATATAAAAATAATATTAATGCAATATTCAGGAGCTCCTTTTAAAATTACTTCAAAACATGAAAACTGCATATGATAGAACGAAATCACCCTGAGCCAGGTTCCAGATGGCCCTGGTCCTGAGCCCACAGGATTGACATTAGCAATATCATTCACCCTACTTGGATTTTCCTTATTCTTCTATAACCTCTCTAGAGTTTATAGAAGAAGCACCTTTAAGTTGGCTTCCACTTCTAAAACCCTTTTAATTCTCATCATTTATTTCGAAACATAATGGATGAGGCTGTCTTTCATTAAGCACGTTAGCTCTGTGGTGTTCTTTTGCTCTCCTGTTCTGTAAGTATATAACAGAAAACATGCACTTGTTTTGCTGAACATAATTAAAGATTATCTATCAGCCCCTCTTGCCACCCTAGGAAGCAGAAATTAGATTTTTGGCTATTAATGAATCAGTGCTTAATTCTGAGGAGTCATTAAAATCTATTTTTTAAGGAACAAAAGAAAAGATGTTCAGATGTACAAGAAAGCGGATTTCCTCCCAACAAAGAGAAATCATGACAGTACGAATGATGCGGGGTAGGAGTGGCATGAAGAAAACTGTGAGTTTGCTGTGGGGAAACTACCCACAAAGCAAAGGTAACTAAGTTCAGAAAAGTGTGTGAGAGCTAAATTGTCACTCACCAAGCAATGTCCTATGAGGCACAAACCTCCCCATCCTGCTGCAAAGTCCTCCCCGCTGAGTGACATATACCCCATGGCAGCTGACATCTTATAAGGAATTTGGCACCCTCTGTGGAAAGCTCCCATACTGTGCACTAGGAAACCCACAAACACAAGAAAGGAAGAGGGTGGGCTAACAAATGGAGGAGAAATAGAAGCTGAAACCTCCAGCTGGCAGCTAAACTTCAAAGAGGACTAGAGAGGCTTTGAGACCCAAAACATGGTTTGAAGCTCTCTTTAAGAAGTGACCACAGGTGGTGGGTGTGGTGGTACAAGCCTTCATTGCCAGTGTTCAGGCAGGAGACAGAGGCAGGTGGCTCCCTGTGAGTTTGGGACCATCCTGATATACACAGTGAGATCTAAGCCTACATACTGAGGCCTTGTCTTAATAATAAAATAATAAAGTGATCACAGCACTTCCAAAAAAAGATGTGACCTGGTGAAGGAGAAGAGTCCGAATGAGACAATACAGGCTCTATTTCAAAGATAAGGAGAGCTTTGGAAATTCACAAAGGTGAATACAGGAAAAGTCCGGAGGAAAGGGCAGCAGATGGCCACCGTCTTCAAAGGGAATTTATTGTTCAAAACTGAGATGCTCTGAGAGCCTGGAAAAAGGGAACATCCAGGAATCAGGGAGCCTGACCTCAATTGTCCACGGCCCCAGAAGAGGCAGCCGCTATAGGAGCAGGAGAGCTAGGTACCAACAAGTCAAAAAACTGCAGTTAGCAGGGCTTTGGCTCAGGTAATGCAGAGGTTCAGGAAAGGGAGCCCTACCCTAAGTAGCCTGGGTGAATATCAACAACTGTAAACAACTCTGGAGTTAGACAGCCTTGAACCTGAGCTCATTGGGTGGATCAACCTTTGGAACCATGGTGTCTGCCATTCACAGCCTCAGAGTCTTGAACTCTGAAACTCCAGTGGTTTACTTGACACTAACAACTGTGTCATTCCAGCACAGTGACAGTCAGTCACTGCCTAACACTTAGGCAGTCTTGAAAGCAGGAAGACAGATCATCTCCCTATACAGATCTCAGCCCTACGTACTGATGATAAAGTAAAATCAAAGCTAGAATAAAGAAATCTGCTGCTACGTATGACTAAAAGAAGCAATTTATCAAGAAGATACAATAATTATAAATTATACCGCAAGTACTAGAGGTTCTAATTTCATAAGACAAACACTAATGGGCATAAAAATGCATATGAATCCTAACATAATAATCAAGTAACTATGGTGCCCCACTGTTATCTTTAGATAAATCATCCAAACTAAAAACTACCAAAGACCCTCAGAGTTAAACTGTATCAGATCAAATGATTTAACAGATTATCTAAAGAATATTCCATGTAACAGAAACAGAATACATATTTTTTAGCAATTGTGGAACTTTCTCTAAATAGACCACATCTTAGGCCACAAGTCAAAGCTTACAAAATACAAAAGAAATGAAGTAAACTCTCTTATCAATTCATAGTACAATAAAACTAGAAGTAAACAGCAAGAAAAACTATAAAAAGTATACAAATACCTGGAGACTAAACAATGTACTTCTTGAATAACTAATGGATCATTGAAATCAGAGAGGAAACTTAGAACTTCCTGGTATTAAATGAAAATGAAAACAGAGCTTACCAGAACCTTGATTGAAGATTTAAGGCAGTTATACCAAGAAACTTATTGCTGTGAATGCTTAAATTAAAACAAAAAATCAGAGAACATACAAATATGAAACCCAAGGTCTTAAGAAAACCTAAGCAAGCCAAGCCCAACAGCAATAGGCAGCAAGAAGTGAAGATCAGGGCAGAAAGTAATGACACGGAGACTAAACTACTATATAAAATTATCAAAAAGAGCTTTTGGATAAATAAGAAAAAGATTTTTTAAAGATAAGCAAAACCTCTAGCAAAATTAGCCAACAGAGAGAAGGTCCCCAACCTCATACAACTGAAGATGAGAAGAGGATATTACAGCAGATCCAGTGATACCCAAAGGAGCATTACAGAATATTTTGAAACTTGTATTTCAAAAATGGAAATTCTGGAAGAAATGCATACATGTCTACACACATATGATACATATGGTGGAGAAGAGAACCAACTCCTCACAAGTTGTGCCCTAATTTCCAAAGTCCTACATGACATGCACATGCACACGTACATGCATGCACATGAGTGAATAAAAGTAACAAAAATATTAAGAAGCAACTGTATGGCACTGATGCAAAAGCAGACAGATAAATGAATAGACTAAGAAACTCAGAAATAAGCCGGGCGGTGGTGGCGCACACCTTTAATCCCAGCACTCGGGAGGCAGAGGCAGGCGGATCTCTGTGAGTTCGAGGCCGGGCTGGACCGATAGCCTCCAAAACAATGCAGAGAAACCCTGTCTCACTAAAAAGAAACTCAGAAATAAATCCACACAGCTTCAGCTGCCTTTTTCCCCAAAAGGTATCAAAATCACACATTCAATGAGAGACAGACTCTTCAACAAACAGTTCTGGGGAAACGGTGTGTGTACATGTAGAAGAATGAAACTAGATCTGTATCTCTCACCTAGCACAAAATTCAAGTCAAAATGGATCAAAGACCTTAATATAAAACCTGAAACTGTGAAACTGCTAAGGGAAAATACTTCAAGATGTGGGCATTAGCAGGAACTTTCTAAAAAGGACTCCGACAGGACAGAAAATAATTCAAAGAATTAGAGAATAGGATTATATAAAATTAAGAAGTTTCTGCACAACAAAAGAAACAATCACCAGAGCAAACAGGTGGCCTAGAGAAAGAAAAAGCATATCTTTGCTGACTGCATTAGACAGGGGTTAATATTTAGACTACAGTTCTCTTAGTTGTGTCTTTGTGTGGCTTGGGTATCAAGGTAATTGTAGCCTCGTAAAAAGAGTTTGGCAGTGAGCCTCCTGCTTCTATTGTGTGGAATACTTTGAGGAGTATTGGAATTAGCTCTTCTTTGAATTTCTGGTAGAATTCTGCACTGAAGCCATCTGGGCCTGGGCTTTGTTTTTTTTGTTTTTGTTTTTGTTTTTTTTGGTTGGGAGACTTTTAATGACTGCTTCTATTTCATTAAGGGTTATAGGTCTGTTTTGATTGTTTATCTGTTCTTGATTTAGTTTTGGCAAGTGATATCTATCCAGGAAATTGCCCATTTCCTTTAAATTTTTGAATTTAATTTAAATAATTCTCTGGATTTCCTCAGTGTCCGTTGTTATGTCCCCCTTTTCATTTCTGATTTTATTAATTAGTATGCTCTTTCTCTGTCTTTTGGTTAGTTTGGACAGAGGTTTGTCTATTTTGTTGATTTTCTCAAAGAACCAACTCTTTGTCTCATTGATTCTTCTCGGTGTTTTCCTGGTTTCTATTTGATTGATTTCAGCCCTCAGTTTGATTATTTCCTGGCGTCTGCTCCTCCTGGGTGAGTTTGCTTCTTTTTGTTCTAGAGCATTCAGCTGTGCTATTAATTTTCTAGTGTGACTGTTCTCTAGTTTCTTCATGTGGGCACTTAGTGCTATGAACTTTCCTCGCAGCACTGCTTTCAGAGTGTCCCATAAGTTTAGATATGTTGTGTCTTCATTCTCATTGAATTCCAACTGGGATTGACATGTGAAGCAAGCTATTTAAAATTAAAATAATAAAATAAAAATAAATATATAGACTACATAATGATTTTAAAATGACATTTATTTGCTTACTGAGTAGAGGTCAGAGAGTAACTTGTGGGAATCAGTTTCTTCCTCCATGATGTGTGTTCAGTGATCTAATTCAGGTCATCAGGCTTGGCAGCAAGCTAAATCAACTTTCTGGCCCTATAACAAACAAAGAAATGCAAAAATCAAACACCAAAACAATGAATCATAAATAGGTTAATAAATTTGGTTCACAAGAATAAACACAAATGGCCACTCAATTATTTTTAAACTGTTCACTATCCTTTGCCATGAGGGAAACGGCAAAGCTGCCTTGGATTCCATCATCCTCCAATCAGAATGGCCGAGTCAAAAGAACAAGATAACAAATGCTGGAAGGGCCGTGGGACAGAGAATCCTTTACACACTGCTGGTTGGGAATGGAAACCGGCTTGTCCAATACAGAATTTAGTGTGGGGGTTTCTTGGATGCCTAGTAAGAAAACAGCCCAGCTATGCCATTCTTGGTTTCAGACCAGAGGAGTCTTAGGTCAACAAACCACAGAGAAATTTACACATCAGTGTACATTGCTGCACTATATGCAACACCTAGGGAATGGAACCAGCCTAGATGCCCATCATCGCATAAATGGATAAAGGGAATGCGACACATATACACAACAGAATTTTATTGTCCTAAAGAAAAACAAAATTGTGACAGCTTCAGGAAAGTGGTTGGAAAGGGAAATCTTTACATTAAACAAGTTAAATCAGATCCAGAGAGAAAAATTCAGAGATTAAGTGTGTGTGTGTGTGTGTGTGTGTGTGTGTGTGTGTGTGTGTGTGTGTGTGTGTGGGTGGGTGGTTCTGCAGGTCATAACACTAGAAGAAGAGAGGTTAAGTGAGGGAGGGTTGGGAAGGAAAGAGCACTGGAATGCACATGACCTGAAAGCAGAAGAGGGCTATCTGAGATGAAATACCCAGCAAGAGGGATGCAAGAGCCCAGCAGGACAAATGAGAACAAAGTATAAGTACACATCTTCGGCAAAACGCTAAAAAGAAACCCGTTCCTTTGTATGTTAACTTTAAATATTTTTTAAATGGCAAGTGAAGGCCTGGCATGGTGCTGTGTGCCCCTATCCAGGCACTGAGGAAGCAGAAGTAGTGGATCTCTATACTTTCAATGCCAAGTTGCTCTACCCAGTGAGTTCTAGGCCAGCCAAGACTGCAAAATTGATATTGTCTACATTAAACAAACAAAACTAGGTAAGATTATGGTTATATATTTAGCAGTTAAAGACACATTTTTAAGTTGATGAAGACCACAGCCAAACACAACAGAAAAATAATAAAAAGTTTTATTCATTAGCCACCTGATATCTCTGTCATTCCTTTTCCCAGACTTGTATCAGATTGTCTAATGGCCTCTCCATATGAATGATTTCGTATCTTTCTAGAGAAAACAGAAACATAAGTAATCTTTCTTCAATGGTGATTAATCAAAACATTTTGAATAGCTGTAATATATAAAATGTTAGCCCACAATTGGAAATTATCACTTTTTGTAATGCTGGAACAGAATTGTGCTGCAAGCATACACATTCAGACAGATTCTACTTGGTGCAAATTTGCATTAAACATATTGTCTTAAGTTTGCTTTCTATTGCGATGGTGAATAGAAGGCCAAAGGCAACTTGAGGAAGAAAGGTTTATTTCATCTTATAGCTTATAGCCCACCGTGAAGGGAAGACAGGGCACAAACTCAAGGCAGGAACCTAGGGGCAAGAACTGAAGCAGAGGCCATGCAGAAACATTACACACTGGCTTTCCCTCAATGGTTTGGTCACCCTGCTTCCTTATACCATCCAGAAATGCCTGCCCAATGTTAGCATTGCCTCCACTAAGCTGGGCCCTCTCTCCCACATAAATCATTAATCAAGAAAACGTCCTACCGAGATGGCTGCAGGCCATCTGATAGAGACATGCTCTCAGTGAGACACTCCTTATCCCAGCTACCTATAGCTTATGCCAAGTTGACAAAACCTACCCAACATACAAATTAAAACGCTGTGTATGTGTTATATTTCTGACCGCACTGCTACATCATAAAGAGTATCTTTTGAGGCAAGGTAAACCAGGCTGATTTCAAACTCAAAGATCCACCTGCCTCTGCCTCCCGAGTGCTGGGACTAAAGGCGTGCACCACCACAACTCATCTCATAAAAAAGTATTTGTATTATATGAGAATTTCCATTTTAACTAGGCATCAATGACAATCTAATCATTCTCTTAAAATTTTACACATCAGGTGTACTTGAAACTTTGAAAGTAGGAGAGACTCCAAGAGATACTGTGTTCATTTCAGCATTTTCTTTTCAACATCTGAAAGATAGACGCAACCCAAGTGTCCTTAAATAGATTATCACCAAAACAAAGTGCAACTCATGTAGACAATGGAAGAAATCCAAACTTAAAGGGAGAAGGCTGTCCTGACAGGTGGCAATATGGATGAGCCCCGAGGACATCATGACAAATGAAATATGCCCATCACAAAAGACAAATATGGCGTGATTCTATTTATACAATAAAGTTCCTGGAATAGTCAATTTTTATATTTTATATTATTTTGAATAGTCAAATTTGTAGAAACAGAAAGTGGAATGTTGATTGCTGGAGCCTTAAAAAATGGGAATTATTGTTTATTGGGTACAGACTTTCAACTGCAGATGATGGTAATGGTGGCCCAACAATGGACGTGTATTTAATGCCACCAAGCACTGTGGTAATAATAGCTAATCACAATGGAGGCTTTATGTTGTGTCTATTTTATCACAAATTTTAAAAGCAAAAAGCATTACATGCCGGATAACCAAAAGAATGTCCTAGAGTAACTTCTACTCTTGTGCATTCCAAACCTGCTTCTCTTACACCACCCACAGTCTTCCAGTATCGGGTACTGTGGGACAGCGTTCATTTCACTGTGTGACCACGAGAACCACACCGTCCTGCAAAGGTGGACGGCAGGAATGTGAGTGCAAGTCATTCCTACACCATATGGAGGTGACTGTAACCCACATAGCTATATCCCACTAAGTGCAAGTGAAAAGCATCCTAAATTCACCTTGCTTAAATCCCAGCGGCATCTCCAGCTGTTACATGAAGAAGTGTGGCCCAGGAAGTTGGTCTGGAAAGAAGCAGTGATGCAAACTGACCATGTTAAAATGTATAGAGATTTGGTTTTTACCAAAATAGAATGGGTAAGTATATGTCTAACACAACCTTGCAGCCATGGAAAGGGGAGTGTGCAAATAAGGGGCACTAAGGGACAGTTGCATCCACCTCTGAACGCCCAAAATTCACTGCAAACTCTTTGCTGTTTTAGGACTGTCCCTATTTATTTTGTTCTCACATGATATGTGAGCTGCCGTGCCAAAAATTCCTTGTGCAATAATCTTTCCAGATAGACATTCTATCACTGTTTATATTCTTTCCAAAAATTCCTAGTATTCTTGTCTTTTGTAGTTATTATTTTTCAATATTTATTGTGCCTTTATCTGCATGATCTATCACAGATTACAGACTACCTGAAAACAAGACATATTTATGCCATGGCACACTACAGGCAATCACATGCCTGACAGATATATTTGGACAATATAACACACATTCATGTGCGTGTGTACGTGCGTGTGTGTGTGTGTGTTTTAATTTAATTTTGGTGTGCCTCTAAGCGCAAATGATATATGTTACCCATCATGAATCCCAATTTTCCTATTTTTTTACTTGTATACAACTCATTGGTGCCTGATTACAATTGTGCAGTGCAATACTTTTCTCATTCACTTTGAAACAGGTGAAAGTCCATTTAACGATAATACAAGGGATGTCTGTCACTCACGAAGCAGTCAGGAAGGCTCAGTGGCAAATCGTTTTGCATTTTGTTTTGTGGCAGCTCAGGGACAGATCACTTCAGCACATACCGATGCAGTGCAGGAGAGATGGTGGGTGATTTTTATCCCACCAATACTGTCAAGTGGGCACTGAGCAGATAATGTGGGTCGCTTTTCCCTGCTGTAATAAGGCACATGCTCTGAAATGAATCACCTCTGAGCTACTGCTGCTTCATTTGTGCACTAAGAGGGCTTCGGGCAAACACTCCTGCAAACGGCTTTTCAGGAAGGATGGTAATAGCTGGCATCCGCAGAACATGTTCTGGACTAAAAAGCATCTTCACATTTACTGTCAGGGCCCACCTCCTCTGCCCTCAACTGCTAACAAACAGGAATCCTGGCTGTATAGCTTTGAGGCAGGCTCTGGACATAACTCTTGATCTTCTTGCCTCTAGAATAGATTCGATGGTTTTAATAATATCCTAAATCATGGGTTCCAGAAGCCAGGGCAAACTGACACTTTCTGATCTTTCTCTACTCACAAATAATTCTATTCCCTTTGAAGCTGACAGCTCCCTGTCAGGGAAAGTCAGAAAGAGGATGAGAATCATATAGGAAGCCTGGGAACTGGGAGGAATGGGCAAATCCATTCTGCTGCCACCTTTGGTCCTTTCCTCAGTCTCTTTCCATGAAGCCCAAGTCAACACACCACTCGACGTTTTGTTTGGCGAACAAGACATTTGTGTCTCACTGGCCCATCAATATATGAATCACTGGACTTCAGAGATGACAGAAAACATCAAGATCAAAATCCTACGCATTCAGGTTTGCACCAGCTAACTTCTAGAAAGACAGATGTAATGCCCCAGAAGGAACAGAAGAGCCTGGAGGTTAGGAAATGATGGGAGCCCACATGCATGGGACAGCTTCCTCATAGCTGTGACAACTCAATCAAAAGGAGAAATGTGAGTCAGCAAAATCCTTCATTGGGTAAGAGTGCTTGCCTCCAAGCCTGGTGACAGAGTTTGATCCTTGGAGTCCACGTGATGGAGAGAGAGAACCAACTGCACAAACTGTCCTGTGACAGGTATGCACATCTGCCATGGTGCAGGCAGCCTCCTGCACAGAGAGACAGGCAAAATAAATAAATACAACGTAAGTTACATTTTTTAAAAGACTCATTGTTTCAGGTGTTCAAGTTCAGTGTCACCTGCACTCATCTCACTTGGGTAGAGTTCTACTCTTCATCTCCTGAAGCTTCACCAAAAGCACTACAAGCTAGTAATCTTTAATATATGAGCCTTGGGGCACATTTAAGACCCAAACCATATCATATCCCAACCCATTTCCTATCCCATATTCTGAACATTTAACCTCTTAGATTATAAAAATGCTTAATTATGCCCCATATTTAAAATAATATCATCTAGATCAGTAGTTCTCAACCTGTGGTTCTCAACCCCTTTGGGAGTAAAACAACGCTTTCACAGGGGTCAACCAAGACCAATAGAAAACACAGATATTTACAATATGATTCATAACAGTAGCAAAATTGCAGTTATGAAGCAGCAATGAAATTACGGTTGAGGGTCACCACAGCATGAGGAACTGTACTAAAGGGTCACAGCATTAGGAAGGTTGAGAACCACTGTTGTAGATTCTAATCACTATAGCTAATGCTCACTGCTTTCAGACCTCCATCATTTAAAACTCTCCATACAACCGTTGGAGTTGTTCTCATCACTGCTTTCCCCCGTGTTCTCATGCTGGTGTCCACTTGCATCTTGCTGAAAACCCCAAGGAACAGGTTTCATTTTTTTATTGCAGGACTCAGCCTTCAGCATGCTAAACATCTCTGTGTGTTGGTACCAGACTCTGCAGCTCCCTCACTCTCTCTTTTGTGATTTGTTCTGACACCTTCCAGAGCTCCTTTTCTGGTTTTCTGTACTTTTCTTCACACCTCCCTGGGTTATCTGGTTCTTCCTCTTGCTTCCACCTATCCCCTAGGTGCCCATGTTTTCCCAATGTTTACTTCCTGTTAGACTCTTCCCTAACTTCAGGCTTGGATGCCAAGTTTTCTTAAAACTAAACATACAATCTCCCCCCCAGATCAGCCCCCTCTCCCATCTATTCTGCATGTGATGTTTCTTTGATACCCAAGGTAAAAAGCTAGGAGTTTACTCTCCAGTCTTCCTCAACCCTATATTTAATCTTCATTCTTTCCTGCTGTAATGTCTTTAGTTCATAACTTGTCATCTCCTGCTTCTCTGACTGCTGCAGCTCCTAACTGAAATCCACACAAGCATATTTTCCACCAAGGTGACTTATCCAAGATGAAATCTACTCTTTACATTGTGGCACCAAACTTCCCAGTGGTTTGACCTCCATTTCTGTCTCCAATATCACCTCTCCTTTCTGTTATGACCCCTCTCTTCCAGCAAAATGCAGCTGCTGGCAGCACCCACACCTTTCTATTGTGGTTGATGCCCATATATAAAACTCTACGTTCAAAAACTCTGCCTACTGCTACCTTCTTTCCCATCTCCTTCATCTACTTAAACAGAAGCTAGGTTTTGAAGCAGATCAGAGTCAACTTCCTCTAGGAAGCCATCCTTGACACCAAGGGTATTTACTTGCATTTCCTTCACGCCTTCATAATATTCTCTTCGCATTTTCATTCCATGACTTGGCACTCCTCAAAAACTACATAGCCTCACAAGAGAAGCTAATGAAGCTTAGGGCCACCTCTGCAGCAACCCTTTCCAAAACACTTGTCTAATGTCTCTTCATACTGCTGCAAATTTTTCTTAGTGGGGGCCCCCAAATGTGTGGAAGAGCCTTTCAAAGTCCCTCTCTGTCTCCCTTTTATGTCTTTTCATCCTCTGGTCAATGATTTGTGACTGGGAAGAATATTTATCTTATTTTTCTTTCTGCCAACTATATACACAGGCGTTTAATAGCTGGTCATTGAAAGAATTAATAAATGAATGAAAATAAATCTACCACAAGGTTGGCAAGGATTAAAAAGTCCAACAGAGGTGCAGGGAACAGCAGGATGTGAAATCAGGAACACACCAAAATGACCGGGTTCCCAAGAATAGCCAGGAGGACATTGTCTAGGATACCTGGAAAAAGAGCACAGTGGTGAGTTGGATGTCACACAGAGGGCAACAGCCAGAAAGCAGTCAGGTAAACACAGACCTGGACGGGGAACGACTAGTAAGCAGAATGGGGCAATCAGCCCAAGTGCAGGACAATGACCAAGAAAACACAGGGGGGAGACAATGCCAGACACAACGCGGCAGCAGTGAGCAGCCACTTCCCGCACAGCTGTTCTATTGCTCTTTGTCGACATAACGGACCTGCAAGAGCAGTTCAGGGAGTACAACAATTCAAAGCATCCTGTCAACAGATGAGACCTGGAGGGGACAAAGGACTCTGGCTGCCAGCATTTATCCCACTTGGGTTGGTGTCTCAGGGATATCTATTTCCAAGCCTGAGCAGCTACTGAAAATTAAATGATAAAAATGCTACTGAGTTCACAAAGGCCTCTTCTTAAAAAAGAAACAATTAAAAGAGTGAAAAATCTGTATCTATCCTGTTCTGACATATTCCTTTTAAAGATTTGCTTTCAGTGATGTGACAATAAATGGTTATGTTGTAGTTTGAAATCAGGACAGCCGCTATGTAAAGGAGGCAAAAATTGCTTCATTAAAATGCATGAAGAGAGAAACGATGGATTATAGTATAGATCATGCTAGAGATGAGCAGATTACTGAGTTCCAGGCACACAAGGGAGACAGATTAATGAAAAATAAATAAAGGGGCTTCAGAAAAACAGCATGAGTCTGAGCACTGGTCCGCTGCATATCACAGAGTATAAGCCCAGAGGTATAGAGAAATCATTCTTTTTCCATTGGAATGTTGATTTGAAAATTAATGCTGTTTGCTTCTTTCTATGTTCCATATTTTTTATCTTTTAGATAATTAAGGATATTTTGAAGTAGGAAACACCAGCATGATGGGGTCTCTAATGTAGGTTTCTTATCCTGGGAAAGGTCACAAGCTTGCTGCAATTTTCTCATTGAATGGACAATCACTGACAACTAGAAATACAAGAACTGGCCTTTCTTCTTCTGACCTTGCTATATGTTTTACCTGAAAAACACCATGGACCTGACTCTGAGGATGCATGTCTTATTTGCGGTTCTATAAAGGAACAGAACTGATGGAAGACATATTAAAAGGGCATTTATTAGAGTGGCTTATTACGTATTACTGTGGCCTAGCCAGTCTAACAATGTCTGTCTCTAGGAGGAAATGCTATGAATCCAGTAGTTGATCAGTCTACCAGACTGCGTCTCTCAGCTCGTCTTCAGCCTACACTGGAATCCTGAAGAAGAAAGTTCTAATACCAGAAAAGGAATACCTAGCAACAGGATAGATGAATTTGCCACTGAAAGTGAGGGCAAGCAGGCAAATATCAAATGCTTCCTTCTTCTATATCCTTTAAGGGGGCTGCCACAAGAAGTTGTAGCCCTGATTTAGGATGGGTCTTCCCACATCAAATAATCCAGTCAAGAAAATTCCTCAGTCATGCGCAGATGCTTGAGTTTTAGTTAATACCAGATGTGGTCAAATTGACAACCAATATTAGCCATGGGAAGGAAGATATTTACATTATTGGGAAAGGAATAGATTTTGAGGTCAGAGGACCCAGGGTTCAAAAACCAACTCTAGCTAACATTTGTAGTTTGTGATTTAGACAAATTGCCAAGTTTATTTGAGCTTCAATATTTGGCAGGATAAAAATGATGCTTGCCTTAATTAACTCAGAGTTTTCAGTGCATCTCAAATGATTCATTTTTTAAAAACCAACTTTGAGAAACCTATATATATATAAATTGTCAACCCTTTGTAACAAACACCATCAAGTTCCAGCTGGTTCCAGTTTTGTGTACTCTAACTCAGTGGTTCTCAGCCTTCCTAATGCTGCAACTCTTTAATACAGTTCCTCGTGTTATGGTGACACCAGCCATAGAATTATTTCATTGCTATTTCATAATGGAAGTTCTGCTACTGTCATGAATCACAATGTAAATATCTGATATGTAGGATATCTGATGTGTGACGTCCCCAGGTTGGGAACCACTTCTCTTACCTGATGACATTGTACACCTACCCATTTACTTGTCAATACTGACAGAAAGAGATGGGTAGTGACTATTTTTAAGAATGATATCAGCTTTTTGATTATGTACTTTATCTTCTGAGACTGGGATTCATACTTCCTTTAATGTGTACGGTTACACAAAACACCTCTTGAATTTAAGGAACTACAGTTAAGTATCCTGATAATTGTACACGCTTCTGAACATTTTACATGTTTCAACATTTATAAAAGTTATAGGGGAAGTAAAAATAGCTAAAGCATATATAAGAACTCTGAGAAAATGTTGACAGATGATAGCAACTATGATACAGACATAAAACTGTGACAACAAACAGTGCAGACAGAAATAGAGCTCGGTGACAGCTCTTTATGCTGAGCTGGTCCTTCCATGGTCCATTGGACTTTTTCTCTGAGGGTGTGAAGTGAGAACATAGGAGTAGGCAGGCAACAGGAAGAACTACAGTTGTGTGGCTGCATTTGAACTTGAAGCTACAGCTACTCCCATCATGCCCGTCCTCCACTCTTTCTCTAACCTTCCTCTTTCAGCTAGCACGTGGGCTGGTCTTGGTGGCTCTCCTGATTATATAAGCCAAGCTTTCTTAGAGGCATCTGAGCTGCTGGTAACCACACTCTTGTCAGTCACAGTTGCTGTGGGTATCTGCTTACGGTCATAATTAAACAATAAATGTGAAGAGGAACCAAAGTAAACTTGGTTTTACAGGTATTCCTTCTTTCCCTCACTGCATCCAAGCAGTCATCTGAAGATGAGGGACGACTGTCCCTGCCAAGATGATGACTTCTTTTCTGCCTACTTTCTTTTTTTATATTTAAATTAGAAACAAGTTTGTTTCACATGTCAGTCCCATCTCCCTCCCCTCCTCATCCACTCCCCCACCAACCCCACCAGCCCCCTACCCAATCCCCACTCCATTCCCCAGGGAGGGTAAGGCCCTCCATGGGGGAATCTCCAGAGTTCTCTGCCTACTTTCTAAACACAGAGGCTTCAAAGTGTCATGAGCAATAATAAGATAGTTTATTCGTATCCTTACTGTATCCTCTGGCAAGAATACACTTTTGAGGACAAGGACTCCAACCTTGCAAGTCTATAGTCATGAATATGGGAAGCAGGGCTTCCCCAGTTGGTCATTGAGAAAGATGGCCGGTGGGGACATTGACTCCAGGTTGCTTCCCTGGAAACCTAGTGCCATATAAAGTCTCTGATTTATTTTACATTACAATTTCTAATCCAGAACTTCAGGCAGTCTTCAACTTTTGACTGCATAAAACAAAATTATTTTAGAGGAAGTAGTTTGTGATATGACTGGTGGACCACATGGTCATAGATGTATTCCCACATTTTCTTCACTGTGAAGATTCCAACAGAGACAAAGTACTCAGGAACATCCACAGATACAATTCTATCCCAAATCTCTGGGTCCCCACAAATCCTGGTCAGTGGAAGCACTGTAACATGCCTTACCTTTGCTAAGCACTTAGTTGTATCCCAAACTCTGAAATCCTATTATACTGAGGCTGCTTCCCATCTGTGTCTTACCTCCAACTACAGAGAATGAAAGCCTCTCTATTGGGTACTGAGGGCAGGATGAGGACATCTCCAACCAGTGTTGAGGGCCGGATGAAAAACTCTCCATCCAGTACTGAAGGCAGGATGAGAATCTCTCCATTGGGTACTGAGGGCAGGATGAGGAACTCTCCAACCAGTACCGAGGGCAGGATGAGGACCTCTCCATTGGGTACTGAGGGCTTCTGTCTCTCAAAAGTTTTTCACTGGTTGTTGAGTGTTGATATTTTGTTGTTGCTGTTTTTATTGAAGTATTCCTCATCCCACCCCCCAGAAGCATTAATACAACCAATCTAGTAATAGCCAGACAACCTTGTAACTTTTATAGATATTATTCCTCTAGCTTACAAACACCTGAATCATCACACTGATAAAGACGTTATTCTCCACCTAGACATTTCCCACTTGTCATCACAGGTAAATTCTTTGTCAGTTGGGCCGCAGAGCATTCGCATCCCATATTCCTTTCAGGATGTAATTCTTCTTGTCAAGAAGGCAATAAGTGAGCCAGTCCCTGGATCCCTTCTCATGAATGTTTTCCTGGACTGCTGCTGCTGGAACCTCTTGCAAAAATTCAGACTTTCTGAGAATCAGACACCAAGACAGGATTAAATGCTGGAGATATTTATTGGGGAACTTGCCAATGAAGGATAAGGTGTCAAGGAGCACAGAGGCAAAGAGACCTTCAGTTGGCAATATGCATGTAATATCTGAGAGCAATAAATACACGTGCAGCATCTGAGAGCCAGCACTACACGTGCAACATCTGTGAAGAAGGAAGTTGGGAAGGAAAAGCTTCAGACCGCAATGCAGTCCTGAGAATTTCTGAAGCAAGCCAGTGTGGACACCCCATGCCATGACTGACGATGAGAGAAGTCAGCTGTCCTGGTTAACTCACCTACATTCAGTCATTGACGGAAACAGCCCAGGGAAAAGAAATGTCACCTTAGCAGAGGTGTAGATCTGTAGCCATTCAAGGCTGTCCCCCAACTACATTCCCTCAGTGAGTCTTCTCATGAGAAAAGCTGTGCTGTGCTCCTCCAAAGGGTCACCCACAGGAAAACAAACAAAACACATCCCATGATAGAGGATGAACCTGTGAAATTCTGAGTAGTTCAAGTTTATGATATTCATATTAATGGACATCAGAACAATTAACCATCTTGATGTGCTGCTCTCTATGTGGTATAGATCTAGACTAAACAGTACACAAATATTTTATTAATAACAATTATGATTTGACAGAATAGCACATTGCACCAGCTTACAGCTATTACTGAAAGCCAAGCTGAAAGGTTGGAGTAGTAATCTGTTGGTTCTTTTTAATGAAGGAATTAGACATTACCCAGTATGAATCTTAAGGGGACATT